GGGGGGGGTGAAGGGAGGGTGGGGACAAGGGGAAAAAATGAGAACCAAGACCCGGCATGTAAAGGTACAAGATCTCAGTAATGAATGTATCTGTACTATCTGCCTAGAATGTACCAATAAATTCAATTAAAAAAAAAAAAAGAAGCCATGAGGTGGGAACTTTCTTGACTTAATAATGATAATTTAAAATTACATCAGCCGCACACTCACACTGTTGTCTGGTTACAGTTGGGAACTGGTAATTTCAGCTGAAGGCAATCCTTCTGTCTGTGCTTGAATGCCACCCCTTTTCTGCATCCTCAGTTTTATCATTTTTTCCTTTCTTACATTACTGACCTTTCCCACCCAGTAAATTCATCCCAATAGTGTTAAAATGTGCTTTCATGACAAGTAGCAAAATAAGAATAAAAAAGCAACAAAGCCCTGATATTCAACTACCTTTAACCCCTCCCCTTTTACAACAGCCTTTTAAGTTTGTTTTACTTTTTTGGTTGTTTTTGTTTGTTTGTTTTTTGGTACTGGGGATCAAACTCCCGACCTGGTGCTTGCCAGGCAGGCAGTGGAACCACTGAGCTAAACCCCTGGCTCTAAGTTGTTTTGATCTTCACTTCCCACTAATTTTTCACTATTTGGCTTTCACACTTACTGTTCTTTAAACATTTACTAGTGCATATTTCTTTCTACACAAGGAAATTAGGTCTTCATCTAAGATATGGTTTAAAACTTTTCTCAGTCTGATTTTGCTTATAGTGACACCTGATTTGTGCATTTGAAAAATGTTTGTATCACTAAATTTTCCATTCTTTTCTATATGGCTGCTAGGCTTGTGGCATAGTTTAGAAAGTTCACTTCCTCTTTGACACTAAAATAAACTATGGTCTGGTGATTTCTTTGCATTATAACATTTTGTATTTGAGGAATTTTATAGTTACATTTGTAATTTTGTCTCTTTTGATGAGGAGGAGAAAGCTGCAGAAATGGTAAGTGAACATGGCCTGCCCACTCAGTACTACAAAATTCCTATAGGTTTGATTAGGAATCTTCTGCTTTCATGATTTTTTATTATGAATTTTCTCACATCTCTAAGTAGCTTTTATTCAAATAACGAATCAACAAAGATTTGAACTAGGTGTCAAAAAAGTTTAAAAAGTAGTATGAAAATGAATGAGGTTCTGTAATATTATGTACTGGATATAACTGATTAGTACTCTCAGACTAGTAATCTAGAAAAAGCCTCAGATAACTGAGGAAAAGCTACCCTTTTTTCAAACAAGGCCCTCAAGTGGCACTTTAATGACGTTGTACAAAGGGGGAAAAATGCTTGTCTTACGGCACAATCTAATTAAGCAAGTGAACTGCATCTTAAAAGTGACAGATGAGAAATGACATTACCTAATCATTTAAGATGGAATTTTACTAAGTCTTCAGTCATAAATATAACCTTGCAGTGCAAATAACATGATAATGCACTTAACTGCTGGAAAGCCAATGTTGAGCATAACATTTCATTTTTCTTGTTCTAACACGACCACTTTCTTGCTCTTGGTAAATGCCTCAGAAACGTGTGTGCTCTCTACGCCAGGACACACCAAACACGGGTGTCTTGGCATTTTCTTAGTAACTAATGGTTTTTATTCTTTTTCCTATGCGGTTTTAAACTGAGGTTAAAAAATAACAGTGTCAATCTGAGTGGTATTCGACATTGCCCTATACAGTGCATTTGCTTCCTGATGGCTACTTCTGAATTCATTCTGTTGAGCTAGAAAGAAGAGACATCTCCTAGGAAGGCAAGCCTGAGGAAGGAAGCCTCTGTGTCACACAGTACAGTAGATATTTTGGGAACGAGAGAACTACCTACATCCACACTAGCATGTGGAAAACTGCTTCTCTGGTGTTAATGTGAAGCAAAGTTTAAAGTCTGTCTAAATTATTTTCTCATGACATGAACGTGTATTTGTGGTAGTAACTTGGTCAAAACATATTTTCTCTCTGTATTTTCATCTATTATGATAAGACTTAGTAGGTGAAAGAGATGAATCTTTGCCCTGATGATTTTTTTAAAAATCTGAATTGGACAGTGTATAGTCTAAAACAAACACATACAAATTTGTACCCGTTAAACACACTAACATTGAAGTGGGACATAAAATAGTTTCCTTTTTAAAAAGACAATAGTAAAATGCTACAGTCAACTCAGTATTCACAAGACATAAACAGTAGCTTTTCAATAAAGTCTCCAATATCTCACACATTTACAGAAAAACGTAAAGAAAAGGTACAATAGGCTGTCCATATTCTCTCGCTCTCCTCTCAAGGTTACAGCTGTGCCTCCACACTGAGTGGAGTGAACACAACAGGTCAGAAAGTATTTACGCAAAAATTTCTACACATGAATCTATATTTTCGTTTGGATCAGAATTTTACCAATGAAGACACAACAGCAGGGTCGCCTGTACTTAACCATCTCCTGCAAATATGGTGGAGTGTGGACTGGCGAATTTAAACAAAGCTTTTCAAATTTAAAGAAAAACACGGAAATTAGCAACCTACAGTTTTTATACAAAACTCTGTGTATTAAAAAAAAAGCATTCAACATAGAACAGTACCTTCTGTCACCGCACAATATTTAAGAACAGAAATATGTATAATTAAACATATTCTATAACTTTGATAGACACTTCAAAACCAAAGCTGGAAGTTATATGGACTTTGGAGGCACTGAAACTGAAATATCCCTAACAATAATGCCCAGTGTGACCTCGAATCACAGGAAGGGCCCCGTCGTGGGTCGCAGGCCGCTGTTCTCAGGCGCCGCCCGCCCTCGCGCACCCGCTCAGCAGCGGACCCCAAGCGCCCCGAGGAGGTGGGAAACGCCGCACCCGCGCCAGTGGAGCGTCCACAGCGGATCCCCCCAACCCCGACCACCGCCAGTCTGCCCCGGCCAGCGCCGGCGGGACAGGAGGCCCCGCCCGTCTTGGTGACCAGTCCAGGTCAGGTGCAGGAGTTGGCGCTGAAGTTGTGGAGGCCACAGCACTGAAGCTCGACTCGTCGCCCGGGCCTGGTCGACCGGAGTCCGCCCTCAGTCACAGCATTCAGGGGGTGCCAGCCGCGACGCCGCTCCGATCGCCTTGAGCCTTGACAGCGGCCCACGCGCCGGGGCGGAGCGCGAACGCTCCCCTTAAGTACCACCAGGGAAGGCCCCGCCTCCCACGGGCTGTGATTGGCTTGAGGTGGTGAAGCGTTGACCCGATTGGTGCTGGTAGGCGGGATTCCGCCCGAGAAGCTGAGGTTTGAGCGCCTTGGCAGAGCTGAGGCGAGCGTGGTGGCGGAGGACTGATGGTTAGACTCGCGGGGCTCCGGGCTCGCGCCCAGGTCCGGG